AGGCAGAGGTTGCAGTGAGCTGAGATCATACCACTGCACTCTAGTCTGGGTGACAGAGTAAGACTGTGTCTCAAAAGTAAAAACTTTTTTTAAAAAAGTTGACAATTCCCAATTTTCCATTTCCAACCCAGACCTTTCTGATGAAGCCTGACTTGAATACCCATCTCCCCTGGAGCTTCTCCACTCAAGTATCTGGTAGACATCCCAAGGCACGTGTGCCTGAAGCGGAACTCTTGATTTTCCCCACAGAGTGACCTTCCCACAGCCTTTTCCTAAATCCATCTTTCTATTTGTTCAGGTCAAAACTTTGAAGTCTTCCTTAACTCTTCTCTCATCCCCAGTCCATCAGAGAATACTGTTAACCCCACCTTCCACACAAGTCTCAAATCCAACCACTTCTCACCACTGCCAGGGGCTACCATGCTGGCTTGAGCCACCAGCTGCTCTCACCTGGACTGCTGCTACAGCCTCCCAGCAGATCTCCCTGCTCCCACCTCTGCCCCTCAAAGCCTGCTCCCAACATGGAAGCCAGAGGGATTTAAAAACCTAAGGCACAGATGGGCATGGTGGTGCACACCTGTATTTGCAGCTACTTGGGAGGCCAAGGCAGGAGGATCACTTGAGCCCAGGAGGTTGAGGTTTCAATGAGCTACGAACCCACCCCTGTACTCCAGCCTGGATGACAGAGTGAGACCCTGTCTCATTAAAACAAAACAAAACAAAACCCCAAGTCAGACCACGCCACTGCTCTGCTAAAAACCCTCCAGTGGCTCCCCCATTTCTCTCAAAGTTCTCTGATGGCACAAAGTCCTATATGATCAACTTCTCTCCTACCCCCTCTGCCCTTCCTCCCTCCCCTCCAACTGCAGACACTCGTGCCTGCAGGCCTTTGTGCTGGCTGTTCCCTGCCTGTAATGCCCTTTTACCACATATTCACTTGACTAACTCCTCCAGCTCCTCCTGGTCCTCAATCAAACGTTGCCTTTTCAAAGACTCCTATGCTGACCGTCCTACTTCATGATACAACCAGCCTCCCCATATCCACACTCCCAACCTCCTTTAACCTGCTCTAGTTCCTCTTTTTCCATCCCAGTTCTCACCTTCAAACATTCCACGTCATTGGCTTATTATGCTCATGGCCTCAGAGGCAGCATGATGCTGAGGAAGGAGCCTGGACCGGGAGCCAGGAGACCTGAGTTCTGGGCCTACCTCTGCCCCTCACATGCACTGTGACTTTAGGCAAGTCACCAACCTCCACTGGGCCCAATCTGAGCATCACTCAACTGCTAGGTGTGGCATTGCAGGCTGAGGACCATGGGCCACGTCTGTGCCACCAAGAGGCTTGGCTAGTGGAGGAACAGGCACACAAAGCCCTCAATGGCTACATTCACTGAGCCTCAGTGCTATTCTAGACATGGTTCTGAGCAGTAAGAACTCATGTAGTCTTTACCTAACACCTCTCCCATCATCAGATACAGCTATATCCCCACTTACAGATGAAGACACGAAGTACACGAGGGGTTAAACACCTGCCCATGCATGGTCTCACCAAGAGATGGTGGGAGAGCCATGTTGTCCTGGCATCCTATCCCTGGAGCCTGCAGTCTCCATCAATGCACCTCTGCCAGCATGGGGCAGCAATGTGGCTCAGGTGCATGTGAGAAGCAAGCACCCACAGCAGAGGGGTACAGGAGAAGAGACAGGAAGAGGGAGATTGGGAGGACCTCTGTGAACAGGGGACAGAAGGACAAGCAGGCATTTGCCAGGCAAATGGACTATGGGGAGGATTTCAGGCAGAGAGGCCTGAGAGAGCTAGGGCCAAAAGGCTTGAACTCTCCTGGCAAGTCACAAATGCCAGAAGTGGGTAGTGAGGCCAGAACACAGGGCTGAAGAAAGACTCTGGGAAGGCCAAGGGTGAAAAGGTGGGCAGGAGCTGATGCTGGAAGATCTGGTAAGTCAGCTTCAGAACCTGGACTTTATCCTAGATGTCATTACTTTCCAACCCTGGATACACACTAAACCCCTGGGAGATTTGAAAAATGCCAATAGGTGCTAGAATCGATGGCTAGCCTAGTGGTAACAAGCCTGTGCCAAACTATGGCCTGCAACTACTGTGTCCCAGTAAAAGGAACCACAGCTCCTCCGAAAAACAATGGATCTAGTATAAGATGAGCCCAGAACCCTGCGTCATATCAGACAGCGAGGAGACTACTGATAACTGCTGGAGTCCAGCCAGGGACTCAAAGCCAACCTGGAGAGATCCCTACTAGCCAGGGATGAGACTATGAGCATCAGTCAGGATCATGACTATGGTGCAACAGTACACACACAACATGTCTAAAACCATGAGTTAAAAACTCTAATTAGTTACTGCTACTAGAGGATGGTAGTGAACCAGTTTGGTATTTTAGAAACATCAATACGAGAAAAGAATCAACCATTTCCTCTATGAATTTAACACTAGGTCACCACATGGTTATCAAAAGGAAGTGCCTCTGTTGGCAAATGAAGACGGAATGGCAGAATTAGAATGTTGCCATGTTGCAAGCCCTTGTTAATTAACGGATTCACATACAGACTAGCAATAGCTGCTACTATTTCAAAAAGAAAGACAACCAGATGGTATATGCCCCCTGATGAAAGAACATGAAACCACTGAGGAAGTCAAATCCCACTCCACACGCAAAAAGGGAAACTGAATTTGGTCAAGTTTCTAGATCCAACTAGCAATGCATAAGAAATATAGAGGAGCCTGGCCGGGTGCAGTGGCTCACGCCTGTGGTCCCAGCATTTTGGGAGACTGAGGCAGGTGGATCACGAGGTCAGGAGATCGAGATCATCCTGGCTAACACAGTGAAACCCCGTCTCTACTAAAAATACAAAAAAATTAGCTGGGCATGGTGGCGGGAGCCTGTAGTCCCAGCTACTCGGGAGGCTGAGGCAGAAGAATGGCGTGAACCTGGGAGGCGGAGCTTGCAGTGAGCTGAGACCGTGCCACTGCACTCCGGCCTGGGTGACAGAGCGAGACTCCATCTCAAAAAAAAAAAAAAAAATATATATATATATATATATAGAGAGAGAGAGAGGAGCCTGTTAAATGACACTTGGGGATAAGAATACAAAATTCAGACTGTGGGAAGCTCTTCTGTAGGAACAACAAATGTATTACAAAGGGGGATAGATGGTTAAGGGGGAGCCTAGAGTAAAGAAAACATCAACCGATCACAATGTGTGGACCTTATCCAGACTAATTCAAACAAATACACATAAAATGTACGAGAATGCTGGAAATCTGAATACTAACATTTGATGATAGTAAAGAATTTTTTAAGCTATGATAATACTATTTTTTAAAGAGCTCTTATTCAGAGATACATACTGAAAAGTTCACAGATGAGATAATATGTGAAATTTGCTACAAAATGTTACAGAGTGGAGGATGGAGGAATGGAGGAAAGAAGATTGGCCATGAGTTCATAATTGTTGAGGTGGGGTGAAGGGTGCCTGGGGGTTCATTACACTATTCTGTCGACTTTACTTTTTATAGCTTGAAATTTTCCATAATAAAAAGTTATAAAAATACTAGGCCCCACCTCCAGAGATTCAAATTAATTGGTCTGGGCTTCAGCTCAGGCTCTGGTGTGTTTTTAAGGCTCCCCAGGTGTTTCTAATGCCCAGCCAAGATTGAAAACTACTGTAATCACTCATACAAGAGGCGCCAAGAATCTGCCCGAAGCCCAAGGCAGAGCCTCCCCTAAGCCCAAGGCAGAGCCTGCAGAGGGGAGGGAGCTGGCCTGGGCAGGGTCAAGGAGCCAAGCACATGAGCCTTGATCAGGTTGGGGAAGGATGAGGAGGGGAAGGCATTAAAGAGTGCAAAGATTTCAGTCTTGGGTGACTGTAGGGTGCTGGTCACTGGAACACGTAATGTCTCAGGGCTGGTAGCTTTGGGGTCCTGGGAGAAAGTGCTGAGTGCATTTGGGACTTACTGACTTTAAGGCGGCCTTTGTGACTTCAGTGGAGATGTCCAGTGGGCAATTTGGTTTGTGAGTCTAGAGATGCACCTCGAGATCCTGAAGCAGATACAGAGACTTGAAACCTTAAAGGGTTGTCCCCTAAACTGAGATAGAGGTCGGGATGGCAGCAGCCAATGGTGGCATGACGGCTTTTAGGAAACAGCAGCCTCTCAGCCCCTGCACCTGGGGGAGAGGGGAGGGGCCTGCATGACTTCACACCCTTCATGACCGCTCCCCATTCCTCCTCCTCCCTTCTTGTCCTCCTTCCTCGGATAGAAACCCATGGGCAGTTGGCTGAACCAAGGTGCCCACGCTTCCTGGGCAGGTGCAGAGGAACTCCTGACTATTCCCACAACCTGTCTTAAAAACCCATGCAATCAATCAACATTTGTTAAACAAATGCATGACAAGCACATCTGAAGGAAGCCTCCATGGTGTCATCCATGCCACAGCCCAGTGGAGCCACTGGCAGTCAGACCGTCTTGACAGCCATGCGCTTCATTTGACATTTATTGAGTGCCCATAGATGCTGGGCACTGCATGAGGCAGGTGTGAACAGGAAGCCAGCCCAGGGTCCTGCCCTCAGGGAGCTTGCATTCTAATGGGGAAGCTGACAATAAACAATTGTACAAACTCACAAAAGCTGTGGAATTCTATAAAATGGGTTCTCAGCTGGAGGAAGGGGCCACCAGATCCAAGAGCTAGGCCTAACTTCCCCAGGCCCTGCCTCCCATAATAACCCAGACTTCCAGAATCAAAGAGCTGATAGGGCTCCACTTTATAGCAACAGCAACTAAGGTCCAGAGGGGAGGGGGCCCACCCAAGGTCACCCATGAGTTTAGATCCTGAGACAATTTTGCATTCCTAGTCAAAGTCTGTAGTGGGAGTTTTGTAAGCACTCTTCTAAACCATGAGGTCTATCTTTTCCTTTGAGCCAAAACATCACTGATCACAGAGGACCACACGACCACAGGAGCAGGAACTTACCACGGAGTCCAGGAACTGAATGTAACACTCCAGCCCAGGCCTGGTTTCACAAAACTGCCGGAAAAGCAGCCTCCCGATTGGCTGCTTGTCACATAAACTGCAGTAATCTCTGTCTGGAGACAAGAAAAGAAGAATGTGATGAGACCCAGGAGAAGGCCAGGCAGGGCCTTCCTGTCATTCCCTCACCTGGGCTCAGAGCCCCAGATGGATGGAGTAAGGTGACTGGCAAACTCTCAGAACCCCTTCTTCATTTCATGGTCCCTGCAGACTCAGAGAGATGTCAGTGTAGAAAGCACCAGTGACGACCCAGCCTCCACTCCCCACTCCACGCCCCCGGTCCAATGCTCTGATTTCTGTATGGACATGCCAGCAGTTCTGGGGACTGTGATTCCATCTCCTTGGTGGCCATTAAGCACACCACATTCTCTGATTACAGCGACTGCAGGCCTGTAACGTAAGCCAGTTGAATCAGAGTGGACCGCAGACTGCTTGGGAACACTGGAGCAGAGGCGCCCTCTTCCTCTGGAGGTCATGGTGAGTGGGTGTGAGGCCAGGTGCTGCAACAGTGTTCTTGACACTGCAAGAGAAGCCGCTATGAGGATGAGGCTGACACATCAAGGAGGTGAGAGCTGGGAAATTACAGGAAGTAGAGTTGGTGCCCTGGTGATGTCATGAATCTCTGGATCAAACCATGCCTGTAGCTCAAACCACATCTGAAAAGCTAATTTATGAGACAACACATTCTCCTTGTTTAGGGCAGTTTGAACATTTTTAGAAATTACTTGTAATTCAAAGCATCCTAATGGATACAGTTTTTAAAAATCATTTTTGCCCAACTAGAGAAAAGTCCAGTCTTAGGATGCTTCAAATTATGAAAACCCTGCCTTTTCCAGTTAGGCACTAAAGGCATGGAGACAGGAAGTCACCCGCACTTACCCACTCAATAGCCAAGAGGATTCTGAAGAGGAAATACTGCAAGACTCCCACCAAGAGGCCCAGAGACCACGGTGCTAGCCAACAATTTGCTGTGTTACTTCAAACCATTCACTTGCCCTCTCTGGGCCTCTGTGTTCTCTTCTGAAAACCAGAAGGGCATGCTGTAGTTGGGATGGGGGCCCCTTCCCTTTTGGTTCTTCCTACAGTGATGCTAAAGCCTTTTCAAGAAGTTCTCTCTGGCCAGGAAGATACTCAAAGGAACCACTGAAACATGCCGTCTCGGGCTCTCTGGAGCACCGAACACTAGGCCATCGATTTTGCAGCTGCACGGGACACAGTCGGGTGAGTTCAGGGGAAACTGGGAAGAGGGCGATAGAGCCTGGGAAGGAGAGCAACTTGGGGGAAAGGGATGACTACAGTCTACCTGGTGTAAAGGAGCTAAGATACCACCCCCTTAGAAAGGATTTCTCTTGAGATATGCCAGGCAACAAGGGGATATGAACACAACCACTGCGCTGGCACACTTGGATTCTTAGTCTCAAAATGCTTATCCACAGGATGTAAAGCTAAGGCTTGCCCGCAGGGAGGATCTCATGGTAGCTGTGAGTGTGAGTGTGGGCTCCAGAGGGAAACCACCTTGGTTTAAATCCCAGCCCATCGCTCGCTGCCTGTGTGACCTGGGGCAAGAGGCTTGACACTGCCCCTCAGTTGTCTAGTTTGTAAACTGGGGACGGTAAGCGGACCTAACTCCTAGGACCGTCCTGAGGAATGAATAAGACAATACATAGAAAGCACTCAGACCAGACGCTGGCACATTAATAAACCCCATTTCTCATCATTATGGATGTGATCATTGGTCTGTTCCATCTCCCTTTCCTTTAGGGAACCTCCTTTCTCCCAGTCTGTACTAATTCAACCCATGCCTCTGAATCTAAAAAGGGGGCTGACACCTCCCATGCTACGGAGACAGGCACGTGACTCAGTCACAGCCAATTAAAAGGCCTCTGTCTCCTGGCCACAGTGCTAAGGTCACGGATGGACACGTGACTTAGTCATAGCCAATCAGAGGCCTCTCTCTCTGGCAATAATGACAGGTTCAAGGGTGGCCATGACTCAGTTCTAGCCAATCAGGTCAGGGCCTGTGATCCGTGGGGGCCCTGGAGTCCTCCCAGGGCTTTTGCCAGAACTTCCAGGAAACACACTGTCTGTTCCCTGGGATGCCAGGAGGGCTCTTCGGGATGACTGCTCAGCCGAAGGCTGCTGAGACTGCCTTCCCCCACGCAGCGAGAGCCCACGGAGGACGCAGCCGGCATACAAGCGGAGCTGAGCGGAGAGAGGAGCCCTGAAGGCAGCCCCTCCCTCCCAGGTATTTATTCACCGCACGGGGACACGGGGACACGGCGACACGGCCTCAGCACTCCACTGTCTGCCTCCTGGAATGGAAAGAGCCGCGGCCAGGCCCACTTCTTTCATGGGTAACCTGCCTGAGGGCAGGGTTTTTTTTGGAGGAGTTCCCCAGATCTAAGTAGTGTATGTAGAAGAAGGCACTCTAAAACGTTTCATTCTCTCCCGAGTGAGTATTTGGATCAACGTGGATGAGCAACCTGCCAAGTCCCCTCTTGGCCCACTCCCAAATGGTTTTGTGGCTCCAACTAGCCCTGGACTGCAGCCTAAACTCTGCCCTTCAGCCGTGGGCGCAGTCTACACCGCTCCCAGCACAGATGGTTCACAAATAGCCACTTCAACAAGCATTTAGCCTCAGTGTATGCCAGGTTCTGACGGGGAGGGGTACCTAGGGATGTGGTCCCAGCCCACAGGGAGGTTGGACTCAGACTGGAGAGGTCAGCAGGAGTGTGTGTGGGTGAATAGACAAGATCTCAAGTGACAGTAATAAAATGTCAAGCTAGATGAGTGTGATCATCAGCCACAGTAGGGAACCTGGTCTCAGCGCCTGTGACAGGTCTGCAGCCTGCACCTGTTAGCACAATGCCCTGCAGATACAGCCTGCATTCCCATTGCCTCCCACTCAACACAATCCCCCAAGGGGAGGAAAACAAACCTTTGCATCTTTTCCCAATCAGCCGAGTTTTTCCCAGCACAAACACAAAGTAAAGTACCTTGTGTCAAATTCCATTTTTATTCAATTATGGGAGAGAGCACCATGCTGTTTATGTGATTTAAGCAAGGTACCCCTCTACCCCCACCTTTTCCAAAAGCAGTTTTGAGATTTCGTGTGCCATATTGTGATCCCTTAAGGGTTCATCTGACAGATTTTTTTTCTCTCCATATGGCATTTGCTGTCAGTATGGAAACAAGGCTGTTATAAACTCACAGCACAGTAAACACCATGCGATTCAGACACAAGCTGTCAGCACCTCAGTTCCGAGCCTCTCCCAGCTGTAGAGAGGATCCCAGGCAAAAAAAAAAAAAAAAAAAAAAAAAATACTCGTTGGAAGCTTAGAGAGAAATAAAAGGACCAGTAATGATCTTTTTAGATTTTTTTCTTCACCTCAAATGAAGATCAATGGGCCCATTTTCCGAGCAAGCACACACAAAAAAACAAAATCATCCCCAGTGCAACATTTACAGTTCCTACAGAAATGGATAAGGAGGCCACAGAAGAAAGAATACGAATTTGGGAATGATCAAGGAGACAGGAGGAGGCACAAATCCAAGTTCTTGATGTATCAAGAGTAAACCCGAGGTATAGGTTGCTTCTAGAAAGTCAATGACATTGAAATTGGAAGCATGAGAAGCTCTACGATACATGCTTGGAGTGGACCCTTTCTGATCTGTTTCAACAGAAGCTGGCAATGTTGCTGAAATCCAGCTTGGAAGGGGCCTGCCCACAACCTTTCTCCCAAGTGTGGTCTGTTGGGGTTGGTGAGGAGAAACACCCAGGACAAGGGCAGAAGACTTTTCTCTCTGTCTCCAAATCTCTTTAGGGGTGGGAGAACACTGGGATGCTGTACACACAGGCACGCACACTGTCCACACACACGCACGCACACACGTGCACTTGCTCTTCTAGAACATGGAACTCTGGCTTTCCATGTGCCTCATTGATCTTTTCTTCCAAGCCAGAAAGAGGCTGCTTTATGTAAGACATTTGGGAGTAGTGGCCAGGCACGGCGGTTTATGCCTGTAATCCCAACACTTTGAGAGGCTGAGGCGGGCGGATCACCTGAGGTCAGGAGTTCGAGATCAGCCTGGCCAACATAGTGAAACCCCGTCTCTACTAAAAATACAAAACAATTAGCCGGGCGTGGTGGCAGGCACCTGTAATCCCAACTACTTGGGAGGCTGAGGCAGAAGAATGGCTTGAACTTGGGAGGTGGAGGTTGCAGTGAGCCAAGATCGTGCCATTGCACTCCAGCCTGGGCGACAAGAGTGAAACTCTGTCTAAAAAAAAAAAAAAAAAAAAAGACATTAGGGAGTAGGGTATGGGGAGCTCCTCGGCCCCTAAGTACCCACAAATCATCCAGCCATTCTAACTTTGTTATATTGGGTCCTTCATTCACTCAACAAATTCTCTTCCAAGGTCTCTTGCTTTTTGATACTGGAAGTTTCCTTTGATGTTAAGAATTTCTTCTTGAATTCAACACATGGGGATATGTGGGTGGATCAGTGGGAAGAGACATTTATACCCACTGACAGGTTACTGATCCAGCGACAGGTTTGGAATTAACAGCTGGCCAAGAATGGAGGACATCATCTCTATGATGTGACATTTGGAAGAGGAAGGTGACTGGGAAAGGGGAAGGGTCTAGAAAGCCCATCATAAATCCCAGGGCACTGAGCTGTGCCCTTTACTAAGGAGCAGAGTGCCCTGGGAGGAGTTAGGCCCGCTTATGCACACAGGAGGGTGTTGGGAGATACACTGGGAAGGAAAGCTGGACTCTCAGGTCTAGGAGTTTGGAATGGATTCAGTGTCTCACTGGTAAATCAGTAATTTAGAGCAAAAATGATTCATGTACAATCCACAGAAAAGGGGAAAAGAATGGGGTGGTGGCAAGTCTGAGACATTTACAGGGGAAGTCATTGGTTTGGGAGCTATTGTGGCCTGCAGGCTCAGGCCCCGGCTTTTGGGCAGGGAGGGTACCAGCTCCTGCAGCTGGGAGCCTGCTTTGGCGAGCAGCTGGACTGAATTGGCTTCAAGAAAACGACATGTGTTGTT